ATATATATATATATATGTATGTATGTATATTTAATACAACACACTTGAGTCATCATAATCAGCTTGTAATGTGACCCTATTTCTCAGTAGCAGAATTAGGTCTCTCTCTAATATGAAACAGGGATTGTGTGCTCTCATGTGTATTTTGGTGTGATATGCTAGGATTATAAGGGTCCTTTTATAAAAAGGGGCAATGGCGTACCTTAGGGGAGCTCCCTGCCTACCTTTATGTGCCTTTGTGTTTACCTTCTCCCAGTTGTAATTGGAGGAATGACTCAGTTTGGTGCTCCCCAGGGAGCAAATTAATAAATGGTATCCCGCTTCTGTCAGACTAAAGTTTCAATATATTCATAAAGAGAAGAAGAGCAAAAAATATTTTGGGTATGTTCTTGAGTGTGCGGTTACATTACCCCCCCCCCCTCCCCCATCTACCCAAAGAAAATAGAAATATATACTTGGCTTAATTGTAACATTTTCCCTCCATCCTGTCAGCTCGCTCTTTCTCATCTTAGTTCTGAATTCTACCTCTGTTTCTGAGTAAAATGTGTGTTGGAGCGAGGAGGGCGGTAGCTGGCAACCCACGCTGCTTGTGAGTCAGCTGAATCACTTACACTTGGCACAGCATGCCATTTGAAGAGAACGAAAGAGAGATAGAGAGAGAGAAGAGAGGCAGACAGCTATAAGGCCAGGAGGCTCATGACAGAGGGAACACCGCGAATAGAGGCCGACAGAGGCACGAGAGGTGGTAAAATATGTGTTCCCAAAATCTGATGGGTGCAGTCGGTGAAAAGATTGATGTAGTAGCAGGTGTTCTGTTGCTGATTCACTTGCCGCACTTGCTCAGAACAACATTATAGCGTGAAATTAAAGTTACAGCAACATGCTGTTAATCATGTTTGTGATTTCTCCAAAAGTCACAAGATTTTGAGCTATGAGACGTTTCTGGGCTAATGCTGCTTTGTTACATTTAAATGCTGCCTCTGCTGCCATTGTTGCTATAAAAGCAGTGGTCAAGGTTAAGAGGGACCAATGTTGTTGTTGTGAAACGAACAATAAAGAGTTTTAGAGTTTCCTGTGTTACAGTCTTTACATTACCCACACTGTGCTGATGATGATAAAAAAAATTGCGAGAGGAGATAATGTGTCACTAACTGTAAACATCTGTCGCTATTTTGAGTGCCTAAGGGCGAGTGTATTCACACTAACAAGTAGCTAAAGGTATGTTAACAGTATTTAGATGATGGGCATAATCCATCCAGCCAGCCAGGATCATGGCGGGGATAGCTAACTGTGCATTCATTGTAAGTGTTCTATTGTGACACTACAAGTTTGATGTTCAATTTTAGACAACAGTAGGGGTGGCAGTGGCTAAGGAAGTGTGTGTATATGGATCATAAGGTCAATAAGGTTGGCTCTTCCAACCCTACATGTTACCCATGATAACACACCCAGAGTTGCCCCCAGCGCTTCTGTATGATCAACACCCTATGATAATATAGCAAAAAAATGCTAGCGATCAGGCTAACTTAGCAAGCTAGCATTACCCTTATATCCTCGAGATAAAACTCATTATAAATTTCAGTTAGCGAACTCAACCATCTGCAGGACTCACACCAGATGAGTCAGATATAAAATAGAACAAGACACAGCAGTTTGAGCTTATTCAAATTACAACTAATGGACTTAAGAAATCTTTAATTAGCGACGTGAACAACGTGACAATGACCTACCTCTGGCCATGCTAGAAAGTGCTGTGACCGGAGCACACGTGCACGCACCTACGTCATCACACGGTTCACCACCACACACGCACACAGCCTCAGAACACACAGGCAGGAGATTAAAACCAGAGCCCTTGTGAGTAAGTCCCAGTCGTGTTAGGAAAGGTTCAGGATTCGGGGTTGTCATGTGGATCATGTAGCCTTCACATTTCAACTGCTTAGTGGGCAGTTGAAATGTGTTTTTTCTTTTTGTGAAATGTGCTTTTTTGTATTTTTTTTTTTTTTACCTGATTTTTGTATCTAAGAAAAATGAGAGCCACATATGAGGATATTAGTTTAAAATTTCGATAGAACAGTAGAAGTATAACATCAGGCCCTTGTAGAGCAAAACTGAGTATTTTTGTCTAAATAACCCAAAATGTGATGTCCACATTTGTGGATGCCAGGTCCTAGGTGGTTAAAAATTCACCTTCTAAGCTGCTTAGCACCGGCTACTGTATGTCGATAACTTTTAGAACTATTGCGACCAGACATTACGAACGGACATTACGTGTCTCTGTCATGGTCCTGGGTCGGTGACCCAGCGCTTTAAGTTTATTATTATCATTTTCCAATTTATTATCATGATTATTATTGTTGTTTGAGTTCTACGTGTTATATTCGGTCTGCCTCTGAGTCTGCGTCTGTATCTGTCTGTCTATGGTGTCACCCCGTCTGTTTGTGAATCTGTCTGTTTAGTTCAATGTCTTGTCTGGTTCCATGTGTCTGAGTTTCCTGTTTTATTGTGAAGGTCTGTGTCGTATGTGAGTGTGCTCGCTTTACGTTTCCCCTGTCTCGTCAGCTGTGATTTCTCCCAGGTGTGTTCCCCTCCTGTCTCTCATCCCTTGATTACTGCTATCTGTGTATTTAAGCCCTGTGTTTCTTTGTGTCAGTGTCGTGTCGTACTCTCAACTTGCTGTGTGTTTGTAATGTCCTGTCCTCCAGCACCTCGGTTTAGAGGTTTGTTTTTGTAAGTTTTATTTCGTGAATCTTTCCTCCAGCAATAAAGCTGCGTTTTCAGTTTATTCCCATCTCCAAGAGTTCTGCAATTTTGGGTCCACCACTTCTGCTTGCCACACAGCCAACCATGACAGTCTCTTCCATTCAATGGCTCTGATTAAAACCCAAATTAAAATATTTAATAAAAAACATGTGTTTTTTGTGAAATTCATAAACTTTAAACACCACTGCTACATCAGTGAAGAATTTTAGGTTAAAAGAGATTAGGTATGGAGAAAAACACTTTTTTTGCACTACCACACCCACCTGTGTGACTGGGCTTGTAGTGAGAAAGCTCTCTGAGTACTCAAATTAAATAGAAAAGCACTACATAATTGCCAGTCTGTTTACTAGCCTGCTGAAATCCTATCTTTGTTAGAGTAAGTACACAGGGTACATATTGTATTACATGGAAGCGTACTAATGAGAGCATCTGGATTAAGACCCAGTGCTATTTTAATGCTATATAGGTGATTACTAACAGATTACTGGCAGAGAGCTTTCTTATCTTTCTGCCAAATCTGGTTGGAGTCAGTGAAAGTGGGTCAAATAGATGTCATTTCTCTGTATACTTTACCCTGTAATAGCACACTATACGAATGTCGAGACATGGACAATGAAGATCAAGAACGAGCTATAGTGGCAAAATTTAAAAAAAAAATCACATAACTTACACAAACCTACATAAACAAGGACAGACGGGTAGAATGGTGAGACACATCTCCCGACCACCGAGATGTGACAGCGACGTGATAAGTGAGGGTGAACACGGACACCCACAGAGTCTGCATGAAAAAAAAATGCTATTATGAGCTGCTAACGGGAAAAGAGAGAAAATATCACTTAGGAGCGGTCTGTGGGTGGTTGTGTGTTTAAGAGCATTTTTGTGTGTGCCACCTCTATTTCCTTATTCACTGTGACTTTTCAAAAAATCAGAAGCAAGCCAAACCCTGTCCTGTGTCACTGCGGGTCAATGTTTCTCTCTCTCACAATAAGACAGTGATTTGTGTGTTACTATGAATAGGCCCTGCTGACCTGTCAGTGGCTGGAAACAGAGACCTGAAACAGGAGGGGAGGTTGAGCTACGAGAACGGGTGTGTGTGCATCCTCAGGGTGTGTGGTCTCAGATGAGCTTGACCTGCTTTTAAGAAGATCATTGTGCAATGCCTCATGAAATCTGCTCCAGACTCCAGTTGCTTTCTCAAAGATCAGCAGCAAGACTTTCAGTAAGACTTTAGGAAGAAGAGATCAGATAACAACTCGTATTACATGTTTCAACCAAGCAGAGAATTATCTTAACACTGCAACTTCTACAGCTGTTACAGTCTCCCCATACATGAACACTGCGCTGGGGTCATTAACTAAAATTGTATTCAGACTTAGAGTTATACACGGTGACTATTATTGACAGATGGGTGCAGACAGAGGAAGCTGTAGCTGTTACTGTATGCTAAGGCATCATTATCGCTAATTCGCTGAATTTGACCTCTTGCAGTGCGGTTTGGAGCCTTTTTATTGGGTTTATTTGACTAACAGGCTTTCCCAGTCTGTGTCTGGAGTCTGTGCTCCAGTTCCGGTGAGTAAAATTCTATTTCTGTCACTTAGCACAAATTAGCTAATATCTATGTCCGTTTGATACACTTAAATGGTTTCTAGAGACGGATTGGTAACCAAGCTTGATAGTGTTAACTTAGCACCCCACCATCTTGTCCAAATATGGTCACATCTAGCTCAAAAAACAAAGACGCATTGGCCATGGTGCCAAAGTGCAGCCGCATAACGGGACAAACCTTTGAGTAACGTTACGATAGCTAAGTCCACCTCTTATATAAAGTACATAAAGATTTAGACACATAGACCGTCCGGCCCTCAAACGCATCATAATAATTAAATAAATATCTCAGCTTGGGGAATTTGTTACTGGAACATCTGAAAATACTGTAAATTCAAATGTTATGGGGGAAAAAATGTAAAACACTAACCAACAGTGACCAACTTCTGTCTCTTCTCCAGCAAAATGTGTCACTGTCAGATGCCTGCCCCTTCATATTGGGAACAGCACTGTTGACTCATGTCCTTATTCTTAGCACTCTGCATCAGATGTCCTCTTTGTATAGTTTGGCTGGGGTACTATCTATTTCAGCCTTCCTATACAGACAAACATAGTGTTAGTGGTGAGAACGTGAGGCCACCGAGCTGTGGCTTTCTCATGGTCTCACATTTGTGAGTGTATTCTACTTCTACCAATGGCAGAAAAAAACTGCTTGACTGGAGTTTCCCCGCTCATTTTATATTCAATAAAGGAATAATTTGTCATTTTGAGGAAACATGTATTCAGTGAGAAGATTTTAAAGTATCATAACTTACCACAAAGCTCCAACCAGCATCTGGTTACCTTTAGAATAAATACCGGAAAGGGGGTGTTACTCTAGTTCTGTTATCTTGTTAGTTAAATTAGTGCACATGAATGGTAACAGCATATTGTGCCTATGTGACCAGTTATTGGCCAGAAAAAGGGATTTTTAAAAAAGCATAGAAAAAAATATGTTATACCAATGTGCATATCAATGGGTGAATGACACTTGCAAAGTATTTGACTGTTCAAATAGCATAATGGCATTAAAGTAGTAATAATAATAATAATAATAAATTTTATTTATGAGCGCCTTTCAAGTCACCCAAGGACACTTTACAATAGGATAAAACACTTAGTAAAACAATGGCAGAATAAGAACAATAAAATAAAGCACAAGATAAAATGAACAAACAGTGGATTCACAGTGAATATGCAGATTTGAACAGATGAGTTTTGAGTTGGGATTTAAACTGGGGGAGAGAACCAATATTTCTTATTTCAGGGGGCAGAGAGTTCCACAGCCTGGGAGCAGAGCAGCTGAAAGCTCTGCTTCCCATGGTGGTGAGGCGGAAGGAAGGTACAGTAAGCTGGACAGAAGAAGAAGAACGAAGTGAACGGGCAGAACAAGTGGTGGTTAACAGGTCAGAAAGGTAAGAAGGAGCGAGGTTATGAAGGGCCTTGAAGGTGAGCAGAAGAAGTTTGAAAATTATCCGGAATTTCACAGGGAGCCAGTGAAGTTCCTGAAGAACAGGGGTGATGTGCTGGTAGGAGGGGGTTCTGGTGATAATGCGAGCAGCAGAGTTCTGAACCAGTTGAAGCTTATGGAGGGATTTTTGGGGGAGACCATGCAGAAGAGAATTGCAGTAGTCAATACGGGAGGTAACAAGACTATGTACAAGAATGGACGTAGACTGGGTGGAAAGAGAAGGAAGCAATCTGTTAATGTTACGTAGATGGAAGTAGGCAGAACGGGTGAGGTTATTGATGTGTGATTTATAAGAAAGTGAACTGTCTAGGATGACACCAAGGCTCTTAACCTGAGGAGAAGGGAAAACTGTGGAGTTATCGATGGTGAGTGAGAAATGGTTTTCAGGAATAGTTCTTCTTGCTTCTTGAAGGATATTAAAAGCTGTTCTGTTGATGTTGGCTGCCTTTTGCTCTGTTCTCTGTCAAGATGATCCCAGACTGCTTCAATAATGCTGAGGTCTGGGCTCTGGGGAGGCCAATCCATGACTGGTAGTTTCCCAGTATGTATTTTTCTATATAGGTATGCTTTGAGTGCATTGGTAGTGTATTTGTGTTCATTGTCCTGCTGAGAAATGAAGCCGTTGCTAATGAGATGCTTTCTAGATGCAGCCCCAATGACAGAGCCTCCCAGCGTGTTTTACAGATAACTGTAGGCACTCATAGTTGTACCTCTCTCATGACCTGCTTTATACATATTGATAATGATTTGTTCTCCATATTTTGAATTTTGAGTCATCATTCCATAATTCTTAGGTTCTTGTGTAATTTGGCATAGCTCAGCCCTTTCTTCCTGTTTCACTTCCCCGAGAGAAGCTTGTTCACAGCCGCCACTCCTCTTAAACTATTTCTGATGAGGCTTCAGTGAACAGTTGATGGATCAACTGAAGGGCCAGATGCCACGTCTTCCTTTGTCCTCCACTTGTTCAATTTCCAGGTGATCACCTTATTGGTAAAAAAAAAAAATACAATTTTGTGTTATCTTTGGCATTTTTTACAGATTCAACTAAAAAATGGGAACAAATCCAATGTTTTTGCAACTGTTTTCCAGCAAAAAGTTCCCTAAGATGCAAATTTCTTTGCTTTTTTGTTTGTTCTGTAGATTTTAAAAATTGACAAGAAAATCTGACTTCTTAAGTAAAATATAAAGAAACAACAGCACCACATTTTTGATATAACTATACTTTTTATTTTTATTTTTAATTCATACACAACATGAACCTGAACCCCAAAACAAAAAGAGGGAAAACTGGATACATCAGAAACAGCAGTCACTGAGCCGTAAGAGTGTAAACTCAAAGGATTGATAGTCTACTAGTCAAACAGAAAATCCATCATCTATAACCAAGATTTATTTTCTCAGAGTGAAACTCTGTCACTCAATGCATCAATCTTCCTTTGTGAACGAAAGCACGAGGCTCTCATATCTGATTACACCAAATAGATCTGCATTTTATCAAGAAGCCTGTCATAGATAGCATTTGCCTGGACACTCCCATGTGGCAGACTTTTGCTGTTCGGGCTGCCGAGCTGACATAGCTGTGAAGATCTTCTGTCATCTTGACCCTTGAAGCATTTCAGTTTCTGTTCTGTTCTATTTGTGTCTCTATTATAGCATGTGGGAATTACTATAAAAATGATTCAAGTTTAATTGCAATAAATACTGCTGTGCTCATCAATCAATTAGGATTATGGCAACAAAAAAAGCTAAAATATTACGATACAGAAAAGTTTAAGCATCCCTGCTGCGCTATTGCAATAGCTGAAACTGTCAACAGCTTCATCAGATGTCAACTTTAAATATCAGTCTGTCAGTGAGAAACCCCATACTGGTGGAAATAAATGGTTCATGCTGAGTTTCAACCATGTGACAGCACTCTCCAGAGCTTCTATTACTGGAACAGGAACTGGATCTGAATGGTTGATGGTAATTTTTTCTCGTCTGGTACGTGTCTAATATAATTTTAGCTCTCAATGGGTTTTCGCTTTTTTCTTTCTTTTTCTTCTTTTTCTCCAGAAAAAGCTGATTTAAAAAACATATATGCTTATTATTGATATGTTTTTTAGTCCCTGAATCCTCTGTTTATCTGCAGAGCTTTCATTTTACATCTTTGGAAATATTTATGGCAAATAGCTATAATAGATAATAAAGCCTTTGAGTCTCAGAGTGCACCTGCATAAACTTTAAATCCATATATATATACATGTATATGTATATATATATATATATATATTGTAATTCTGCAAAGGAGACTATACAGTTGTGAATAAATTAAAGGCTTTTATCCACAACTGTCCCCTCATCTTAGATGTGCATGCTTCTCTGCTGAAGAAGTGATTTTGTTTGTTTTGTAGAAAGGAAGGATCGCCCTCTGCTCAGTGGCTCTGCTAGTATATGGAAATGCATTAGAAATAAAAACCAGGCTCTTTGTCAAGTTATTTTATTTTTTGCTTATTCTTAAACCGTGTTCAGCCACCCAGATTAAACTCATGGATGTTCATTTTGTGGGTGCTAAGGGAATTGGTTGCAGACAAAATTTCAAAGTGTTCCAAATTTTTAACCTCACAAATTTGATCTTAAAATTGTTCTCTGGTCTCACCCATAAACACATATAAAAGCATATATGCAAACAAGCATCATATAATCAGTGTCTGAAGTTCCCCGTGAAAGGGAAGTCAGGAGTCTAAATGATGATCTTTATGTTGTGGTTCGCTGAAAGCCTGTGGTCTCAGTAAGCCTGTATATGTTTCTGTTTTGTGTGTGTGTGCATGTGTGTGTGGCGCATGCTGGAATGCACCCACCCATTACTGTGTCTATTGTGTGAGACTGTCAAGCCACCATGAATACAACTGCCGTTTCAATTGCAGGGTGGGAGGAAGAAGCTTACGACCTAAGGATGACATTATATGTTCATCTCTGGCTTAACGACCCTGGTTACATTCTCAAAGGTTACAGTATGAAGGAGAGATGACAGAAAATCCAAATCCCATAATACTGCTCTGTGCTCACTGCAGCTAGAAATGTCTGAGGTTGTCCACTTTGAGTGAACAGGAGGCGATATGCTCTTCTTTACTTTCTTCATTTTCAATTATTTCCATTATATTTAAATTCACCTTGCATGCATCTTTCTTCTTTTACTTGTGTTTTTATCTAAAATGAATATAAATAAAAAGCAATACAGATAACACATTTCCCATCCACCGACTACAGGCTAGTTTGTTTAGGCTAAAGACTAGCTAGCAACCACCTGGCACCCACTGGCCACTAGTGGCATATTTGCATATTTGAAACCAGTTGTGTCTGCATGGTATTTGCTGTGAAATAGATTTCTAAAGCCCCTTCTCCTGGTAACCAATGGTCATTATGGGAAAGTGTGTATTCTGCAACTGGATGGCAAGTGGTTGCTATCGCTGTTGCTTGCATGAATTTGATTATTAGAGCTGGTATACAGTGCTGCAGCTGAAATCTCTCCACAACTGGTTTGGTTGTTTGGAGATAGCCTCAGCCACATGTTGTGCGAAAGAAAGGAGCTGTCAGCAAAAAGTAGTAATAGTAATAAGCAGTGTTGGGCAAGTTACTTTGAAAAAGTAATTAATTATAGCTACTAGTTACTTTTTCAAAAAGTAACTGAGTTAGTAACTGAGTTACAAGATTCTAAAAGTAATTCATTACTTGAAAAGTAACTATTGCGTTACTCCAGGGTCCAGGGTATAATTGGCCCTTTTTAACTACTTTTGATGTTTCCTCTACATTACACCTTTAAAAACTATTTACTTTGCCTTGTTTGGTATCATTGTTTTCAGCACAACCTCACGTGTCTGAATTTACAGTTATGTTTTCATTTTGATGTACTGCATTAACACAAATGATCTAAAATCAAACAAAAATAAAATAAAATCAGAGTAGTTGTATTTTTACTGTAACAACCACAAACCTTAATGAATCA